ATGGTCATTATGCTGTTAAGCATTATGTAATGTTGCATCAAAATAGAAGAAAACACAATATTTGGTGCTGCTGCCATGATGACCATTATGGGAAAACGGTGTTACTTATTACTGTCAAACTTTCAAAAAAGAAACACAGGACTAAAATGCAGCCCGAGTTGGAAAAGCAGTCTAATTGGCTTCTTTTTCTGGAAGTTATACACTTAGTGAAATATTCATTATCTTTTTGGCATATTCATTGTGGGACTCAGAGCTCCCATGGACATGAAGCCTAATGGTAATCAAATTTTCTACATGTCCATGCTATTTATAGTCAATAATCAAAAATTGGTGATAATTATTCTATAATTTATTATGTAATGTTACATCAAAATTGACAATAATCTTTTTGCACTGCTACTGCAAACATTATGAAAAGAAAACTGTGTTACTTATTATTATATTTAACTTATAAGTACGATTTTTAGGATTGGCATGCAGTTCAAATTAGAAAGCCAGGTCAATTGGGTCATCATTTTTATTAAATTTATGCATTTTTTGTGAAATTTTCATTTTTCTCATTCTGGCACTTTCTAATTGAAAACTTGAACTCTGATGGGCCTGGAGCCTTATGCTTTTACTTTCATCAGCGTTACCTGTTGTGCATAATTAAAATTTTATGTTGACTGTGCAGTTAAACATAATGTATTATTGCATCAGAATTGGGCAGTCTCCTGTTTTTGTGCATTATTGTTTTCTGCTTTTCTTAAGGTGTGACTTATGGGCCTGAAGACCTTTGATAGACAAATTTGTGTGGTCAGTCTGTTAATTCCCCTTGGGTATTCACAAGGCTAATTTCAGTGCTATAAACTCATTTACCTAATTAAGTAGCCATTAATTGAAATTTCATAAAGCACACTTGTTGATATTTCCCTGTTAAGCTCTCTGCTAGATAACATAGTGTCCATAATAAGGAAGCAGTGAATAACAGCTTCATTAGAATTATATTTTTGTTGTTTCTATTTAATTTTTTCTCCAACACTGGCATTTTTAAGATGTGATTTTTAACTCCCATCCACCTGAGGCTGTGCACATTTTCAGTATTTCCACATAAGCAGCTGTATTGGTATTTATGTCTTTAAACACGATGTAATATTATTTTATGCACTGTCATCATTTTTCATATATAGGGACTTTCATCATGTGAATTTTAACTCTCATGGTCCTGACATTGTAATCTTATTGAAAGGGTGGATTAAGACCATCTTCTGGGTCTCCTGGAAGACAGTCAGATTTTACAGTTTATATTAACGGGTTTCTGTTGGAAGACTATCAAAATGGAGGATGGATCAACAAAGATACTTTGGAATACTGTCAGAAAATATCTCTGAATCTGCTCCTGTTATTGACCATGTTACCTGTTGTGCATGATTAAAAATCAGTGTTGACTGTGCTATTATAAGCATTTATTATTGCATCAAAATTGACATAATGACCTATTTTGCATCTTTTTTTTCTGTTTTTTGTCTGTACATTTGACAGCTTTGCTGCCTTGTTTGCTTTATAGTTTTAGCTCTGAAAAATAAAAAAGAATTTAGTGATTGTTTTGACTAATGATAATAAATATGTATGAAGGAAGATGCATTTCTTCCTCTTTTACAGCAGGATATTTTTACTGGTAAAAAATACAAAATTATACTTTGATTTCCTTTTTTTTCACAGCATTATTAGAGTGAGAGAAACCAGGCTGGATGGAGTATTGAGTCACATCCTGATAGGACTGTCCTTACTCATGGTCCCATACCCACTGGGTTACATCCCAACTCCTGTGCTGGATGGCCTCCTGTTGTATTTGGCCATTATTGGATTGTTTGGAAATCAGCTGTTTGAAAGGATGATGTTGTTATTCACTGATGTGGTATGCTCTGATGTCAGTCCACACTAGTCTTTCCTTCTTGCAGTATAAGACTGGGTTCCCATGCCTAAATCGATCTAACAGAATCGAACTAACTCCATGGGGATTCACGCTAAATTTCTATTAGCTTAAGGGGCTTAAATGTCTGTCACGCCTACGGAATCAGCTAGAGGTTCATTAACTTTGTGCACGCTCGGCCTCCGGTAGTTAATTATCCCCTAACAGCTTTAGTAGGCGTGACAAACATTTAAGCCACTTAAAGGGACAAGCATACGAACTGAGGGAGGGTGCTATCATAGTTGTTGAGATGATATAAGAATGATGTCTAAAATTGTTTTTCTTAAATAATCATCACCATGTATATTATGTGTCAAAACGTAATTTCAACTTCTTTTTTTGTCCGTTCTTTGTATTCAGTTTATTCGCTCTGCTATCTTCGAAAACAGTTTGCACACGCACAATTTATTCACTGCACGCACACCTTTTACTACTAATACTATCAGAGCTTCTAGTGTGGCAATTGCATCATTCGACATTGTCTAAGTGCAAGGTCTCTGAATGTTAAACGTATTATTTACCTCTGTTGACATGCCATTGCCCTCTCTATTATAACCCCACTTTTATTCGTGCAAGTTTTGTGTTGTATCCCTTCTTCTTATCCTCCTTATGTGCTTGAAAGTTTTTTCTTGGCATCGTCAGCTGCATTGACTCCTGTAAAGTCTTGAAAATTTCGTCGCTTAAAAATTAATTAATATTTTTAATTGTGTAAATCCGACTAATTTTTCAAAATTACCTCTCCCCGACTCCTGGGTATGATGAAATTTTCAAAAAATCCGGCCTTTGGGCTTTTATCCTTAGCGGCTGTTATCTTTGACCCTCCTATATTGTGGGATATTTATTACTACTTCCTAAGTCATTTTCTGGTGGTAAATAATAATCTATTTATTAGTGCATCTTGATTAAGTTATATTTAACTTACAGCTGTACCCGAAAATATGTTTAGAATTATCTTTTCGGTAAGAAACATACCTCCTGATAGAGGAGAGGGATCAAGATAAGCCTAATTGCAACCTTGCATCATAAACTTGACGCGACATATTTAAATAATTAAGCAACGTTTGGCAACGTTTGTTGCATGCAGGGGTTTTCCCAGGATTGAGTGTCAGGCCTTCTAAAATAACCATCTGTAACTTCTTAAAAATTTACAGGGAGTCCAACTTTTCCAATTGCCGAGAGTGGGGGGGGGGGGGGGGTAAAGATAATATGAAAACTGCATTTTATTGTACCACCAGCGTTAGCACTGGCGGTACACATGGTTTTAGTCCCATGTTATCGTTACCGCTTCTCCTCCTAGACGGTAAGGGCCTCCATACTCATCTCTTGGATTTAGGTCACCTTTAATCTCAACTCGTTCCACGTAAAATTTGGGCTTTGTCAGTATTGGGGTCTAGGTGTGGCACTCATTGTAATGCACCCTTGTCCAAAAATGGCAAAATTAAAAGCTAATTATCTACCCTACGGGAGGAAGTATGGGAAAAATTTCTACAGGCGGCTCCAAAAGTCATATGTGTAGATTTCAAATATGCCCTTGGATTTGACCTTTGACCTTTATTTCAAGGTCAAACGGGCCAAAATTTTCAAAAAAATGAATTTTTTTACGCAAAAAAATTTATTTGCGCTGTTATTCAGATACCACACTGACTTAACCAGTAATATTTATGGAAAGTGTTACCCTTGGTGTCATCTATCATCTCTGTAAATTTGGGGTCAATCGGTGCATTTTCACAGGTGTAGCAGCCATAAGATACCGAAACTGAAAACTGTCTCTAATTCGGGAAACGTTAATGCTAGAGACCCATTCTTTTTTGCATTTTGTAGAGCATTTAAAGCCCAACACTGGAGGTGGTCTCCGTTTTTTTGTATTCCATACGGTTTTCGAGTTACGCTGTATCAAAAAGTACATATTGGTGGTGAAAGCAAAATGTGCAGTACGGTAATGGATAATAAATTTTGAACTCTGGAAAAATAAAACATAAGGCTTGGCAAAGCAGACAACTTGTGGTCAAAAATGACATTATTTCATGAAATTTGAACTTCTGGAACTTCAGAGCACCTCCCATTTCAAGAATTTTGACCAAAATGACCTTTTCTTTTTTTCTGTAGGAAATTTATGGCACATTAAGGTAACTCCGAAATTATAACATTTAGTCCATTATATCTCCAAAACTGGCAGAGATAGGTCCATAGTTACTATTGAAGTTGAATAGGAAGTCATATACTGGCAATCTTGAACTTTTCACAATAGTTACTATTGAAGTTGAATAGGAAGTCATATACTGGCAATCTAAATGTGACCTTAAAATTGACCTTTGACCTACTTTTCACCATGAACTGAACTTTGCAAATTTTCCTTCCCTTTTATTTCCATAACTGGCAGACATAGGTCCATAGTTACCATTGAAGTTAAATAGGAAATCATATACTGGTAATCTGTGACCTTGAAATTGACCGTTGACCTACTTTTCATGATAAACTGCACTTTGCATATTTTCTGATCTTTATATCTCAAAAACTGGCAAAGATACTCCCATAGTTAGTATTGAACACGAATAGGAAGTCATATACTGGCAATCTAACTGTGACCCTGAAATTAACCTTTGACCTAATTTTCAGCATGAACTGATCTTTGCAAATTTTCTTTCCCTTATATCTCAAAAATCGGTAGAGATACACCCAAAGTTGCTGTTTAACTTGAATAGGAAGTCATACATTGGCAATCTAACTGTGACCTTGAAATTGACCTACTTTTTATGATGAACTGCTTTTTGCATGTTTTCTGGCCTTTAAATCTCCAAATTGGCAAAGAAATGCCCATGGTTACTATTGAACTTGAATAGAAATTCAAATACTGTGATATTGAAATTCACCTTTGACCTACTTTTTCACCATAAACTGAGCTTTGCATATTTTCTTGCCCCTCATAATCTTCAAAACTAGCAGAGATGTGCCCGGTGTTGCCCCTAGGTTTTCTCTTTTGTCAGCACATATGCAACACTGACAACACATTTCAAGGAAAATCAATAGGCCTATTGTCTAGAGAATCACAGGAGTGATCAATGTTAGGAAAATGCAGGTCAATTAGAAAATCTGCTTGATTGTACCATTTTTAAGTTTTATATATATATATATATATATATATTGCATATTTCCAGAACTTGTTGATTGCATTTTATAGAGCTTGTCAAGCACAAGACTGGTGGCGGTGTACCTTTTTTTTTTTTGGGGGGGGGGTCCATACGAATGCGGTTACTCCAGCTGGTGGTACTATATCCGGAGGTGGTATTGCCTCTCTGATCCTCTACTTATTAGTGTTTTTGTTATTTCAGGCTGCTTATCATCCCAATCATTATATAAGAAATATACCACTCAAAACAGTGTTTTTATTCACCTTGGCTCAACTAATACAGCTGATTGTTTTGTGTACATTTGGATTTGCCCCTCACAAATTAATGAAGCCAGCATTTCCAGCAATCCTTGTGCTTCTGATTCCCATAAGGTACAAAAAGCATTTTCTTGTACATTTTATAAATTTCTTTACAAAAGTGTTTCAAATAAACACATTGCCAAGAATTTTAGATGTCATTGGCTTTGGTAAGTATTATCCAATTATACTTTTATTTAAGAAGATGCAATAAACAGAACTATTTTTAACATATATTGACCTTTTTTTATTACAGGCATAAAATTGCACCAAAATTCTTTGAGAAGAAGCATTTGGATTTACTAGATGCTCGTACTCTTTGCCTTCAGTGAAATGAAGCCACTTGAATTTCAAACTTTCTTCTGAAGGGACATTTCTATTAAGCGTTGAGGACACTCCTTTGGTTGACATTAAACATACTTTACACATTATGAAAGCCATATTCAAGACAAGAACCTACAGTTCTTTGATATTGATAAAGAAAACTGAATCACCAATTTGTTAAAATAGATTATTTGTTGTATAAGCTACGTATTTACACTTTTGAAGTTTTTCAGTCGAGTTTTGTACATAGCATTGCTTATTCTTGTTTATATTGAACTTGTATTACAGTCAACACTTAGTGTTAACATTTTAAGGATTACATTGTTGGTCATTTAAGACATTTTTATCTTTTGATGTTTAACAGTTAGTTCAATTACAATTTCTTTCCCTTCACTTTACATTAGAGAAAGCATTTGACTTAAATACATGGCCTAAACATAAAACTTTATTCATTGTGCTTTTCCACTTATATGTACGAATTGATTTAATTGTATTTCAGCAGTTGTATAAATTTTTCTCAGTAGGGTAAGGTTGCTGTTTTGAGAATTGCCCTTCACAAAAATGCATTACCGTCAAGTCAAATGATCCAAAAATCAAACATCCAACAAAAATTGTTAAGGGGTACATCTTTTTATTTTAATATTTTTTTCTTTTGCAATTTATAACAAACAAATAAGACTGATACAATAAATTTGTCACACTATCAACTATTTAAGACCTTTGTATATTGACAATTTAGCTGTACAGCAGTTGGATCATAAGGTCATATACGATATTAATGGAGTATCTACCTCGTAGAAAAAAAAGAAAATAAAATGATAAGATTTGAGAAAGCACCCTTATCTCAAATTCACAATGTCCTGCATTACTACATGCAATAACAGTAGTGCCATAGGCATTCGAGCTTGTGATACTCAAAAAAAGGATTCCGAGATCCTTTATATTGGCGCAAATGATGTTTACAATAAATAAACATTAACAATAGTTCCCGTTGAAATCCCTATATAAGCCTGATAAATCTCTTTAATATACAACTGCTTATCCAGTTCTGTACAGCTTACCATGAATGAATTGTACAAACCCACTTCCATACTTGGATGACATAGTTAAGTCCATACATCAATGTCTTATAGTGGAAGTGGCATGTCAATAATACACAAATCAAAAACAAGTCGGTCTACAATGTGTTGTAGGTCACCTGCCCTCGTCCACAGTTCAAGACGACCCTGTGTGAAAGTCTTCACACCAAAATGTGTGCGTTGTGCACTTCCCCATTAAGAGTTACGACCCCTTTGCAGTCAATGCAGGGAAATCATTCTCATCATCGAACTTTGGAGCAGCTTCCTTCCTGCCTCTTGGACCTCCACGGAAGCCATCACGTGCACCACGGCCACCTCTACCTCCACGCCCAAATCCACCTTCGCGGCCTCTGCCACCAAATCCACCACGGTCTCCTCCTCTTCCAAAACTGCCTTCCCCTCTGCCGAATCCACCACTATCAGGTCTACCAAAGCCACCCTCTCCTCTTCCAAATCCACCTTCACCGCGCCCCCTTCCTCCAAATCCACCCTCTCCACGCCCTCGCCCACCACCACGAGCAACTCCCCGGCGTCCACCACCACGTCTTGGGTTGTCACTAAATGTGATCTCAATCGGTACAACATGCTGCTTGCGTCCATGGCGATCCTCCTAAAAATACCCAGTTCAACTCTATCAAGTTTATATTTAGTAAAAGGAATATAACCTTTACTATGACATTTACTGAAAAGGGCTTATGATGAGACGTTTAATTCTTAACATCACAAATTTCTATACCGAGGATTCCCAAATTTTGAAATTCATGTAACTTCAATTCAGTGAAGGTCACCTATTTCCATAAAAGATCTCAAGAGACAAGAGAGGGAAATATTCCTAAACCCTATGATGCAGAAAAACAACTAATGGCAGTCTCCTACCTCATCACTTTCCTCCTCCTCTTCACTTTCCTCATGTTCAGCCGGTTTCTTACTGAGTACATAGGTCTTGTTCCATTGGGCATCATCAACACCTTCTCCCGGTCGTCTCAAGTTAAATTCAGATTTCACTCTTTGTTTATTCTGCATGGCCTTCCATTCGTCTAATGTCATTTCCTTGGGTTCCTCTTCTTCAGGCTCGGCAGGTTCTTCAGCCACATCTGTGCTTTCACTTAAGAAAAACATACAAACATGACTAAAAATCATCTTACCAACAATAAAAATCTACCATCAGCAGATTTAAAATTCAAGTCTAAGAATAACATTCAACTTTTACATCCTTTTCATTGGAAAAAATTACAAAACTTGGGAAAATATTAATTGAGAAGGCTTCAAACTTCAACATATAGCTCTTTTACCTATCAAATGTCAAACATTTAACTCCTTTGAAATTCACATTAATTTAGACTTTCTCAACGGTCTTACTTTGGATCCTGGTTTTCAGTATCTTCATTTGTTGCAGACCAGTCCGTAATTTCTTCTGACAGGTTGGTTGTATTCAATTGGTCACTGAAAGATTATCAAAATGGATTTGATATGTGACCAGACAGAACACTGCTCTAACAGGTACTCATTATAAGGTCTGATCAGCCTATCACTGCAGTAAAATACCACTTTGTAGAGCGTAAGAAAATGATTTTCCTTATTGATTTTCTGGGCAAGTGAGACGAGGACAATGGTTGTTTAAAACAATGCAGAGACATTCTTTTAAAAACAACTAATGTACCAGACCAATTTACCTGTCACACTTTACCTTTTGTTATTTTAAAGTTTATTATTCAAAACACTTAAATGGGTGGTGGTGAAATCAATACATGGCAAACATGCACTCAATTCATATCCTTTTCTAGGGTGGCAGATATTTTAGGAAAATTTTCCACCAGCCAGTTAGAAAATTGACCACATTTAGCCAGAGACATTATCTGTTCATATCTAGTGAAAATTCAATCAGTGGACCTGGTAGTGGGTAGGCAAGAAGTGTAAGAGCAGAAAAGGTCCTTTCAGTTTGAATTAGAACAATTCAACTACTTAAATCAATCAATCACAAAAATATCCATGAAATTTCTACATCACTGGTACATACTAAATTTTTTAGCATTTCGAGCTACTTGGAAAAGCAAATATGATGGTAGCAAAGAGGATAACTGGAGGGCTTCATAAAGCAGATCTCATCTCCAATTAACATTATGACCAATAAGATCCAGTTATTATATAATTTCTTATTTGTAACTCTGATTAAAAGCATTGTAATGCAAACTTTTTATATAATAGCTTCCTACAATAAATCTTGTTTACCTACTGACATAAAAACTGCATTAACTTGAACATTGAGAAACTTTCAGACCTACATTTTTAAAACTAGAGGATCAGAGAGGCGATACCGCCTCTGGATATTGTACCACCAGCTGGAGTAAGCGCATTCTCATGGAAACCCCGCCCCCCAAAAATGAACACCACCACCAGTCTTGTGCTTGACAAGCTCTATAAAATGCAATAAACACGAGTTCTCAAAATATGCAAAAAAAAAAAATATATATATATATATATATATATATATANCAAAAAATAAAACTGTGTTCCACTTATCGTGTTTACAAGGAAAGTGCACGGCATCGGCATCGGCATCAGCATCGGCATCGGCATCAGCATCGCCATCGCCATCGGCGACGACAGACGCGGGTGATGGCAATATGTACAGACACATCTGTGTCTGTACATAAAAATCGAACAAACTGTTCAAATCAAGCAGATGTTCAAATTGAGCTGTATTTTCCTAACACTGATCGCTCCTGTGATTTTCTAGACAACAGGCCTATTGGTTTTCCTTGAAATGCGTTATCAGTATTGCATATTTGCTGACAAGAGAGAAAACCTAGGGACAACAGTGGGCAGATCTCTGCTAGTTTTGAAGATATGAGGGGCAAGAAAATATGCAGAGTTCAGTTTGTGGTGAAAAAGTAGGTCAAAGGTCAATTTCAAGGTCATAGTATATGCCTTCCTATAAAAGTTCAAAATTGGCAAAGAAATGCCCATAGCTACTATTGGAGATATGAAGGCCAGGAAACATGCAAAGTGCAGTTCATCATAAATAGTAGGTCAAAGGTCAATTTCAAGGTCACAGTAAGATTACCAGTATATGACTTCCTATTCAAGTTAAATAGTAACTTTGGACTTATCTCTGCCAGTTTTCGAGATATAAGGGATAGAAAATTTGCAAAGTTCAGTTCATGGTGAAAAGTAGGTCAAAGGTCAATTCCAAGGTCAAATAAGACTGCCAGTATATGACTTCCTATCAAAGTTTAACAGCTAACTATGGGTGTATCTCTGCCAGTTCTGGAGATATAAGGGTTGGAAAATTTGCAAAGTTCAATTCATGGTGAAAAGTAGGTCAAAGGTCAATTTCAGGATCATATTTAGATAGCCAGTATATGACTTCCTATTCAAGTTCAATAGTAACTATGGGCGTATCTTTGCCAGTTTTGGAGATATAAAGATCAGAAAACTTGCAAAGTGCAGTACTGAAAAGTAGGTCAAAGGTCAATTTCAAGGTCACAGTTAGATTACCAGTATATGACTTCCTATTCAAGTTCAATAGTAACTATGGGCATATCTTTGCAAGTTTTGGAGATATAAAGATCAGAAAACTTGCAAAGTGCAGTTCATCATGAAAAGTAGGTCAAAGGTCAATTACATGGTCACAGTTAGATTACCAGTATATGACTTCCTATTCAAGTTCAATAGTAACTATGGGCGTATCTCTGCTAATTTTGGAGTATTTCACATTTTCCCCGCTGAATATTGCGATGTTGTAATTTTTGATATAGGGCAACGTCTAAACCATATCAAAAACAAAAAAATGGATACCACCTCCAGTATTGCACTTGACAAGGTCTATAAAAATGCAATTAAAAAGAGGTCTCTGGCATTTACCGTTCCAGATTTAGAGCGAGTTTTCAGTTTCGGTATCTAATGGCTTTTTGGCTTGTTTGACCTTGAAAAAAAGGTCAAAAGTCAAATCCAAGGGCATTTTTGGAATCTCCACATATGACTTTCGGTCAGACTTCTGTGGTAATTTTTCCCATAATTCCTTTGGTTTGGGAGATATTTAGCATTGAATTTTCAAAAATTTTGACAAGGGTGCATTTCACGAGCGTCACGCCCAGGCCAGTGCACCAACGAAGACAAAAAAACCAGGGNAGATCATTTTAGTACAAACTCTTACAAACTTAATCTTTAGATCGATCTAAATCTCTGGGAAAGCACCCCAAGTCTGCCAGTTTTTATTTTTTGCTGCACTTCATTTGCAAATCTGCTTTTATTTCTGAACCCACTTTCCTCAAAATCTTGCTTGATTTTACACCCAAGTCCCTAGATTGGGGTGATCTCAGATGATTCCCATTAGTCTAAGATCATTATTTCCATGGTATGTGACACATAAATATCACAAAACTTGGTCAAATTGGCACTATGTGTAGTAGTATAATAAACCTGAGTATTTGTTGAGTAACTATCAAATGGAACAACGTGTGTATCTCTATCATGAACTTCTTCACAATGGCAAGGTGGCGCGTCCAGTCCCTACAGCAAAACACCACCAATATCCCTTCGACTAAAAATCTTACAACCACCTTGTAACATATACCAATTAAGTTTGTCATCTTTAAATGGTAAAGTGAATTATAGTTTTCTTGTCAAATTTAAAAACAAAATTTAACTTCCTAGAGGCTGAATTTTGAGTTTCTGAATCAACCCAGTGTTTCTGGAACACAATGATTTTCATAATTAATTTTCAAATTCTTTAATTACACAAAGTGACACTTCTTGGTATTGTTATATACCAGCACAGCACCTACATAACATGCAACAAGCACAATGAAGTCAAAAAATATGAATTCATGTATAAAATACTGGCTCCCTATGCAGCCCATGCCACCTTGTATGAAAATCACAAAATTGATATGTTCTTTGTCTAAAAATTGAAATGTCCATGGAATTTGTGAGCCTGTTCTTCCCTTTATCAGTGTGCATTGTGGCCATATATCCTGTTCCTCTGAAAGGGGACAACTGGCAATGTCTGGTAAATGCCGGGAAGATGCTGGACCTAAACATTTCAAAAATAATTGTTTCTACTGGTAGTAAAATTGGTTTATTTTTTTTACAGCAAGATACTTAAAGTATTATAGATTATAGTATTAGATTTAAATGACAGGCTCAAAACAAGAATCATGCAACTGTTAAAAAATTACCATTCAATTTAAAAAATGCATTTTTCTAACACCTGTACTTTTCTCTTACAAAAGAAAAAAAACTCAAGTATGTCTTCACATATTATACACTAAAATATGCATACCTGATTAAACCATCTGGAAAGGTGCATAAGTTTCTGTTTTTCCAAAAAGGTAAGCTCAGTCTGAAAAAGAGTCCACATTTTTTAAAGCAATCTTAGACCCCATTCCCATAGATATTTAGACTTATCTATCCCCCTTGGGAGTCTCACTAGATTGGTGTCAGCTTAACAGACTTAAATGTCTGTCCCGCCTACTAAAAGCTGTAAAGGGGTAATTAACTATGGTGCGCGCTCGGCTGACTGCAATTTAGCGTGAACCCCCAGGGAGTTAGGTCAATCTAAATCTAAATCTCTGGATCAATTTAAATCTCTGGGAATGCACCCTTAGCTGAGTGAAATGTGAATCAACTTATCACTATAAATAAAAGTGATACCACCTATGGGGTTCATTCTCATCCACATACTAGCGACAATGGCACATGCAATCTACCACAGAGTGATCAATCTAAGTTGGCAAGATGGTGGCAACATGGTACTGGGACTACACATTTGGATTTCAATTAATATATAATATCGGGTGGTTCAAAAAAATGTTACTTATTTCAAAGTTCAATAACTTTTTGAAGATATTGCACTTTTGGATGTTTTACAAAAATTGTGCTTTAAATAAATGCTGAAAATGACTCTCCACATGAATTCACTTACCATCACACTGTGTAAACTATAATACAAAAGAAGATCTGCTAATGTTGGCTGGTATTCTACCAAATATACTCTTTTTTGTAAAAACCTATTGATATCCTGAAAAAATAATGGCACAAGTTTATCACAACATCAAAATAAGTGAGAACTACTTAAAATGTACCTCCACCTACACACACACACGCACGCACGCACGCACACACACACACGCTTTCAAGTTTTCAACACAATATTTTCAATATAGTTTAAACATATCACACTGCAAATGAAAGGTTCAGCAAATTATCAAATGTTTAAAAAAAGGACTTTTTGACTTTACTGGTTGAGGTAAAATTTGGTTTTCAAAATTTGAAAAAAAATTGTTTTAGACTTGACCGACTGAGGTAAAATTTGAGCCTGGTTACCTCCAGTATACACTGTTTGTCCTTATCAGTGCCACACCTGTCAACTTGTGTTATTCTATACTCCAGCCACTGGCTAACAGCTGCCTGGGCTTCTGGCTGGTTTCCTGAAAGATAAGAACCTGCTTCTTATATTATGTTTACAATATTCATTTGCATTTATTTTCACTGTAGATTTATTTTTATTTTTACTGTAGACTTCATGTACTTGAAAAGAAAATGTTGGAGTATATTAATGGGTAACTTAACTCACAAAACTAAACTAATTCATGTTCAAGATATTTTTAAAATGTTTGAAGAGGTCTTATGATAGCGATAGTCATTATCCTTTTTCACATGGAGCAGTGTACTTAGACAGTACAGTCTGTACTGGTACACTTTGAGAAGTTCTAACATAAAATTAAGCTACAGGAGGTTTTACTGGCTTTCAAAGGTTTGCTCCCTGCTGTTTGGGAAGAAGTTGATTTACTGGCCTAGTGGAGCCTGGGTACTCTGTTTTGAAGACCCTCTTATGTAACAACCTAGTTATAAAGTTGGTAATCAATCAAAGTTGACCAATACAATCAATTACAAGTACAACACATGATGTTCACAACAAGGAATATAGTTTAAGTTTTGAATGCTAACATGTCAGGTTCATACCTAATAAATCAAGCCTCTTTGCTTGTTTAGCCAAATATTTGCATATTGTTCCAAACCCCCTCAACTTGAAGCCACCATCAACACCAAGAAGAGGAACCTGCAACAGAAATAACCAGCTGGCATGTTATATACTGATGTTCATTTAATTGTGTGGACTGCTGCTCTTCTAGGATAGACAGGACTAAAATTTTGATTTGTGATTCAGAATGTGTAATGTGAAGAACATTTAAAACATATAGCCTTAATTTTTGTGAGTGATCACAAGATTTTTAAAAATGTTATTTATTTTATCACATTTAACATTTTTACATTTACTAACGTTAGTGAACTATTGGTGGAATGGAAGTTATGTCCTTACGGATACTATAAGGATACAAATGCTACTCTGAGTTGATAATTACTCAGTAATAACATTTCTATCATTTAAGTTACCTTCTGCTTATCATCGATGTCCACATCTACTGATGAATGGCCTAAATATGCCGCTAACACTTCTATGTCAGTCTTCATGCCTGCCATGTTACCGGAAATGCTCTTTTTACATGCGCAAGGGAGATTTCCGTGTTTACATAGAAGTGTTTAATTAATAACAATTAAAGCTTATTAATTTCCTCTTAGATTATACTTGATAATTTGATATGAGTTACAATCAGTACTCATTCATATTGATATTAATTTTTTATATATGTAAAAATTAATAAGCAGTAGTTTAAACACACAACGGAATGCTCCCTGGCCTATGATTAAGATTGGTGGGGTTTTGAAAGCTCCAGGGGCAGCAAAGCCAGACTGAAGAAAACTATGCCGGATCGAATGACACGAGTGGTGTTACCAAGCGAGATTGATCAGGCATACCTTTTGGAGAAAGCTAGTGAGTATTGCTTTTTATTCTTGATACAAAATATTTATGTTGTGTTTTTGAGCCCGTGTTTATCTCTCAAGCCGACTTAACGCGTACTAAGTACTGCAGGTGTTACAACTTTGGTTAGTGATTTTATTCAAAAGTTACCTGCCAGACACTACTGAAGTTAAAAGTTTTTTTTTCTCGGCAGTATCTTAGTTCATTTCAGTCTTGTGCTGGGGGTATTTAAGCCACTTGGACCTAGGATAAAATAGAACAGACACCCTACCGGTACACAAAAGATAAATTGAAAAACAATTAACATTGATTGGATTTTAATTCATAGATAGTTCCCCCAGTAGGGTAGATGTATTTCTCCGTTTTCCTCTTATCAGAGCTTGAATGTTCTTTTTGTTAAGTTGATTCTTTGTAAATGAGAGAAAAGGGTAAGGTGCAAGATTTGTACAGGTATGTACAGGACATTGTATAACTGTTATAATTAGAATATGATGGCAGCCAAGGATGTATTTTTTCGACTAGAAGTTGGTTCTAACAGGTAGATTCTAGATGTAAAATACAAATGTGTCAAGACACTCAATTAAACCCATTAGGACAATCAGTGGCAAATGATTTTCAAATTGTCATACAACTTCTGAAGTGGGAACCTTATTCAAATATTTACAAATTCCAGAATGAATACACCTGTTAAGAGCTTGAACAAACAAAAGTTTATAGGTCAGACATGGTATTGGATAATAAGTTTTCTGCATTGTGATATTTATTTTAGCTATAGTAAAAATTATGTGCATTCATTATTTATATTCAAATCATTAGATAGGAATAGGTTGAATGGTTTTCTGAAGGTAAGAAAAAGAACATTGTCATATCAATAAAAGTATTGAATTTTATAACAAAGGTCTCTTCTCCCAGTTACAAGTGGGTAAATACCAAAGCTGCTATTAGTGAACTAGTACTGTGTGCTCAAATAGTAGCATATTTCTTATTTCTTTCTAACCAGTTGTACTTTGAAACTCATTACCTGTTTATTTGACATTTATCAGTTTAGATTTATCAGATTTGCACTACATTGTTCAGGTCACTGCACTGAATTGAAAAAAGGGATTATTACAATATCTTTTTTAAACACATTATTGTGGTGCATTTGTAAAAATGACTATGAATTAAATTTCAGGTTATCCTCATGATGAAGCAGCAAGTCTAGAAATTCTGAAGTACAGACAAGATGAAGCTCCTGACCTGTTTTTGGGACATTTTGAGGAAGATACTCTGATAGGGGTATGTATATATAGGTACCACTGTATGATGTTACCTGGCAAACAGCTCAGAGAGTCCAGACCTTTGCCAGGGTAATACTAATATGTTAATTACAAGTTATTATGGATCAGCACAAAAAAAAAATCTAATCAGTTTTAAGTTATTCCATATATCACCAGGCTTGTAGCCAGCAATTTCAAAGGGAATTCTTTAAAAAATGGATTTTTACCATGAAACCCTTCGTATGTATACTTTTTCCTGGGCGGTCCTTTTTTAACCCGCCCTACCCTCCTTAATACAAACCTGATACATTTAACTAACAAACCAACAAAGGTTAAGACCTAACCTCCTTGGTGGAGGTGAAATTCTTGGATGAAAAGCTTATTGATCATATTAAAAACATTCAGTCTCTATGACTTTTTGCTGGGATTTCAGGATATATCAAGACTGTGTGTAGGTGGGGAGGGGGTCTGTTGTCATATACACACAAGTATAATATAGTTATCAGGATGTGTAATTGGGATTTCATGACAAGATTTTTATATGGTTAAAAGTCTTAGAAATTCCTTGGTCAACCTGCTTCTGTTTATTTGAAAGCAAAGATTTGAATATTAAGCAAAATGCTAATTAGTGACCTCTGAAACTCTGAGATGATCATCTTAAGTTGTATTAAATGAATTAAATATTTAGGTAATTGAAAATAAATTGGCTATTTTCTTCAGTACGTGTGTGCCAGCAGATATCATGGAGATGAGCTGACAGAGGAATCCATGAAAGTTCACATTCCAGAGGGAGGTGGGGGTGTTCTCTTGTTTCAAAAAGTAAAAACATTTTTTATCCACTAGTGAAACATCACTTTTATTTACTAGTTTGCCATGAAAACTTCTGTTGTAAAATTATCATTTTTTAAATGTGTTGGATATTTTGTGTATTAGTTTATCTTCACACCAAGGATGTTTTATTATCTTTTATAAATTATAGTTTCTGACCACCTTTCTGAACTGAAAGGTATTTACCAGTAAATTAATATATAACATCTGATACGGTGTATTTTGTTCATTTTCAGCAAGTGTTTGCATTCATTCTGTGGTTGTCTGGGAGAAAAGAAGAAGACAAGTGGGTGATTTGTAATAGTTAACAAATAAAAAAAATGCCCTTAGTTATGTGATTGTACAATATATGGTTAAACAATAAGACATAAGATAAAGTAATGATGTAAAATTGAAAAAAATTAAAGTGAGTGAAGTGAGTTCATTGTCTCATGTTATATCAGAAAAGAATAGGCAAATGAGGCAGTTCATTCATTTATATTGTATTGATAAATTTTGTCAGTAATATTGACTTGATGTTAACAAAGTTTACAATGAAAACTGTCAACATCTATAAAGACAGCAGGTGCACATGCCCTTCTGTTTTTGTTGATTCTTTACAGGGCATTGCTCTTCATCTGTTGAAAGAATTCATCTACAGGGTAAAAGAGACCCAATCTGGAGTTTTACGGATACTGCTGATATGCCGTGCTAAGCATATTCCCCTGTACACACGAGCAGGGTTTGTCTTAACTGGCCCATCCAAAGTGCAGCATGGTAAATATTCTGTACATACACTGAAAAAATATGAAAGCCCCATGCAATACTTTAAATATTTTATCAGCATTATAGGCAATATACAGTAATGAGGTTTTACCGACTATTGGCAAATTTCTGACTTTTTGGGGCCAAAAATATCCTTTTTGAGATCAATGCTAAATGGCAGTTTCATCCCTGTGTGTATATATATATATATATATATATATATATATATGGGGTGTTTATATTTTTGCTCAGTGCATATGTAAGTGATTGTCTCCACATTGAGATGCTGATAGTAACAACACTTGAACTATAACAGGCTTGATATTTTTCTGTGCTATTTACCTGTATTGTCATTTCTTATTGAGCAAAAATTAAAAGCTGTATTTTTAAAAAACAATTCCTTTTGATCAGCCAATCCATTCATAGATGGATTGTTCATGCAGTAGATTTGATTTTGACATTTTATTTGCATGATACTCAAATACTCAATATTCATGTAATACTCTTTTGACTTCTGCAAACTTCAGGGGTAATTATAATTTATTTTGTATTATTTCATTTTCATAATATATTTTTTCCAGGTCGTGGAACATGGTTTGCCATGGAAATGACAATCAATGGAAAGGAAAATGAATATTTTCAGTGATAAAAGCTCTACACTACAGTATTATGTTTAAACATTTGAAGCAGCATTCTTTGACAATCATTTTAAAAAATGTAGATGAAAATCAAAATTAGGTTTCAGTTTTAATCTTGATTGAATTTTAAAAGCATTTTTTATTATTCACAAGCATTAGCAATTTTAGCATATGAATTTATGAATTCAAAGCAGTTCCCTTGTGTATTTAGCTTTTAAAATCATTTCTTTATGCTTTATTAATTTAACAAATGGACTCAGTTAGGCCATTGAAGGGTAAAAGCTTTTTTTTTTTTTTTTTTTTTATCTACCAAGTAAGTAAAACGTGTGTATGTATTATAATCACAGACATGTCCAGAGGAGGAGGTGGGTTCACCCCACCCACCCCCACCCCTGCATAGAAATGGGTTGGAAGACATGTTCTTAGATCCACAAAATTATTTTTCACATNGCGTTTTTTTTTTTTTTTTTTTTTTTTTTTTTTATCTACCAAGTAAGAAAACGTGTGTATGTATTATATCACAGACATGTCCAGAGGAGGAGGTGGGTTCACCCCACCCACCCCCCACCCCTGCATAGAAATGGGTTGGAAGACATGTTCTTAGATCCACAAAATTATTTTTCACATTTCAGTTAAACCCCCTTTACACTAGACGGCGTCCTTTTTGCAACCATGAAACTGGCATCGCTGTGGTCGTAAAAAGGAGCCACAAGCATCGCTTTTGTTGCAGAATGAATGCTTAATGGTCGGACAGTTGTCGACACGTAAAGTATTTTTATTTATTTTTATTTTTTTTAACCTTCAAACAGGGCCGTACAACGGGACGCAGAAAGGACGCCGTCCAGTGTAAAGGATTTTATTATTTGAAGGTTGGGGACCACAATGTTGTCTTCACCCCTGCCTCCTTGTTTTAACCTGGGATCTGTTACCCAGAATTTATACAGCATGATACATTTCTTAGAAACGCTATATAAATGTTCCGGTATGCATTTGACGTGTATTACGTCCTTGGTGTAGGCATTTGTTCTGCTTGATTATACATATGCTTTAAAATGGAGAATTGATGAAGAGGAGCATGAAAGAGAAACAAAGTGCAATTCAATAAGTTTCATTCCTTTTTATCTGTAACTCTGGATGCTGGTCTATCTCTACAACTTTACAGTTAAAGCATTTTTTTTTTTCTTTTTTGTGAATGTAGACTACCTGAAGCCGTGAGAGAAGTTTTTTATTGCACAGCATTACTTGTAACCTTGCACATTTTTTGCGAAGTCCACAATTTACGGGCTTCTGTTGTTGATGTAGTAGCAGCCTTACTACGTATACTCTTACATTGTACTTGTTTATGAATTATTCGTTCAACATTGTGTATTTTGGCTTCTAGCACTGTTTATATTGCATTGCCTGATATTGAAAAACGTTTTTTTCAAGGAGCATTACTACACGTGTTTTCTTTAATACATAAAGTATCAATTAAATAGTGCGTTTTTCAGTTATAAGCACTAAATATTATGTTCTGCCCGATATTGAAAAAAATTAGGGACAAGCAATACTTATATTGTATATTTGATCACGATGTTTACAGGGTAAATTATAATAAAATATATGTAAAAAAATTTAAACAGTGTTGGCTTTAATTTATAATTATCCATTTTTGAAAGTTAAAGATTCAGATAACATAAAATTAATTTGAAAATGTCAGCTTCTTTCATTAATTTTGTCATCCTTATATATTATTCACTGGCGGAATAGACTGAGAACAGCGTTCTTTGAAGAATTAGGTGCTTTGGTTTACTTTTATTCAGTACTTTGGGGGAAGCGATGTCATACTGGAAAATAGTTAATAAGTTAAAGCAAGATTCTGTATTAAACGAGTGGTCGTTTTGTCTCGCAATCGGGTTTTATTTCGCTTGTTTCACAATTGTTTTATTATCCTCCATGAAGAAAAAACATGTTCTAAAACAGCCGTAGAAGGTTATCGCTCACGCTTGCTTTTCTTTTTTAACAATAAGATTTTATTGTATATCATTTTACGTTGTGTATTATAGGATTACTTCCGTGTAATAGTGTTGCTCGTTTCCTTTGTCCAGATGCTGCTTTGCGTCTCCGTGAATATGACAAGAACTTCGTTTTTCCCAGAATTGAAAGGCGTCCACTTATATTGGCGACATTTGAAAAAAATCATATGGATACCATATGATTGCTTTATCATTGTTTTAATCGTGTATTATTAAACGTGAATGAGGAACGCTACACAACCACAGAATTGATTTTTTGCAACAAACCTAGCTATAATCCCGTATGATTGATCTGAAGAGGCTTACCAACTACCGAACAATGTTGTACAGCGCCAATTGCAACGTTTAACGAGTGTAAAAGTTAAGTGCAGTGTAGAAATGATCAAACACTCCATCAACGTGCTCGTAAAGCTAGGTAGTTGTAAAAACACGGAAAACCGCAACTGATAAACTCTTTATTGATGCGTCGTGGTAGTTGCTAAGCAATGTGTCATAGCAAGTGCTTTATACGCTATTCTCAACAAACAGTGAGGGCAATACGCCTACCTTTTACAGCGTGGATTAATATGATGAACATGCTATAGAATTAAGTCATGCCCGCTGCTTCCAATTTTGCTCATTTCAGCCACTAATTGGATCAAGATAGTTTATCGAGAGCACGCAAATTGTTCACAGGAACCTCCGTGAAGTAGCCATGAATATCATTATAGTTTTCGTAACAGGGCACCTGAGTACCACAGATAACTCCGTAACACCAATAGTTCAGCGACAGTATGTGAGGAACTATACATCTGTAAACTATTAATACGTTGATGTCGTTTCATATTCAAATTTCAAGAAATCACAAAAATTGATTTAGGGTCGGAGACAACGTAATCGGATAAAAGCTGAAACTTATGGATAAAGCTAAAAGTGGAGAGTTTCTAGCCGACCAGAACGCCGCCTTGGATGAGAAAGAGCAACATGTTTCGCTAGGGGTGTCGTCCTCTTGGACAAACGGCACACCGTGTAAAGATATGGGTGCACCGGCTCTTCACGACTTGAAACAAAGACAGCATAATTTTAATCAGTGGAAAACAAACATGGAGAAACGACGCAAAAACGCGGCCCAGAAATTAGAAAAATTAAGCTCAGTACATCAAAGGCAGCTAAATGAACTGAAAGGCACTGTGAGGCATTTGCAGAGTCATCAAAAATGCAGCGAATGTAGCACCGAATCTACGCAAACTGAAGTCAAGATGACGTCTCTCTCCACACAGACTACCGCAGAATTGCGTCTCTTGTCGCCATCTCCGATCTCAAGACCAAGCTCTAAATGCATGCACCCCAAAAAATTTCTGCCGTGAAATTGTGGCCAGCCTTCATGTTCTGAGGGTACGGTACTTTCAAATATTGTGAAAATAGCAATACCACCATCGTCGGCTGTATCTTAGGTTTGCTATTGGCTGATTACACGGAATAGCATCATATGAATCCTGCTAGCGCTTTTAGACGTAATGTAAAACGAAAAAGAGAACGTCGGCTTTACGGGCGTAGAGCATGGAACAACGTTCCTGTTACGATTGCAGTCACAAGGTAAAGCGGAAAATAACATGTGAAGACGCATGGGAACGGTGTAGTTCTCCAACCCGCTGAACCTGGCGAAAGGAAAATCTAAAATATGATTTTTAACTGCGTTATCCAAGCACAAAGAAAATCACTGAAACTTTGCAAACGAACCTACCGCCAGGTCAACCAAAGTTGCCGTCATAGAATAAAAAAACGCAATCGATTTTTCACGAGTTTCTATTATTCTTTTTCATTAATCGTATCTAATAAAACGCATTTTATTGTACATTGTTTCAAATTTGACTTGTACTGAGAATCGAGTTTTTGTTTTTTTTTCTTTTGCCATTAAAAAAACAATTGGGAGTTAACGTAAGACCGCTTGAAAGAACAGGACATAAATGTAATGCCATTTTGACAACAAATTGGGATTGAAAACACATCGACACGTTAATTGTCATTTCGATGGTCTTATAATTGCCATAAGGTTCATAAATATCAGTTTAATTTCTTTATTTTCTCCTCGGGTTACCAAAAAAAAAAAGCATTGAGGAATTAAAAATTATACGTTTTTCTTTCACGGAAGCGCATTGTAATGACACACGTTATTGCCACAAACATATTGTTACTTTGTCTTTATCGCTGTCGTCTGCCAGCCGAGGAACTCCTCCCTCATCTCAGCAGTGCGGTAAGTTTCAGCATTCTGAACCGTTGTTTTTTAAGATGACATACTGACTTTTCATCCACTTGATAACAGGAAGAATGTTTATTGAACTCGTGTGTGTGGCGTTAATAGTGGACAAATAAATGTCACTGACAAAAGTTAGACAAGTTAAAACTGAAATCATTCGTTCTCTTCTCGACATGGACTGCCATGTATTGATACTGTTGAGTATCAGTCTGCTGCATGCTGCCTGTACCCACCAAGTTTTCTTTTCCTCTTTTTCTTCTCTTACATTCGCGGGTTCTGGTGATGCCACGGTTGTTGGTGTGGGCGTGCTTTGTGTCAACAGACCTGCTGTGGGAAATTCTCGCACTGGTGCGGTGGCAGTCAATTCCAATGCTGCTATTTTTGCTGCCAAATTCAATGCTGACGATGACTTTTTCTTTTTTGTTAGTTTCTCCCTTGTTACTGTCTCGTTTGTCCCTGTTATTTTCGTTGTAGTTGTCATCCTTTTTGTTGATGTTTCTTCAACTGCTGTCATAACTTGTGTTGCTGGCTTTTCGTTAAGCATTGTATTGTTTACCATTTCATTTGCTTTTGTCATTTTTGTGTCTTCTACAGCGTCATCTGCAGTCATTTGCTTTACAGGTGTTGTAAACTCTACTCCTCCTTCATTTCTCGATGAAAAATCTGTCGAAGCTGGTTCGACCAATGCTGATATTATGGTTCCTGCAGAGGCTTCTGCAGGTGCTGTGCTTGTTTTACATGGAGTTTTAATCACCAATGGACCTATAGCTCCTGGACAATCTGACCAAGCTTCCAAACATTCACTAATTTCTGGATGTAGAACTGCTTCCACTGCTTCTGCCACTGGTTCCATTGCAACGTCCACTGGAACTACAAATTCCACATACTCAACTGCAGTGTCCACTGGATTTAGTTCTGGTCCCTTAGATTCAAATGTCAATGTTTTTTCTCCAACCTCTGGTGTCCTTACTGCGGAAGCCTCCATTTCTTCAGTGTCTGTGTCTTCTTCTTCTGATGCCACGGCTTCCTTGACAATATCTGTGGAATGGGCTGCTCTAGCTGCTTCCATACCCGCTGATGTTTCAGGTGCTTTACCTGATTCACTACAGTTAGCTACCAAGCTTTTGGTGATATTTTCTGCAGAACTGTTGGGACTGTAACTTTGGTATGCTCTGGCATCTTCATAATCCGACTCTGGCTCCGATTCTTCCTCCTCCTCCTCTTCCTCAACTGCCTGTGCTTCCTCTGCCTCCTCTCTGCTTGTCCTCTCTTCCACCTGCTGTGCCTCTGATAGCAGCTCCTGCAGCTGGCTTTCTAATCTATCGGCCACCTGATCAGCCCCATATTCCTCACCACTGGGGTGATACTCTATGATATCCGGCTCGTCCGAAGCATTGCTGGCTGCTGCGCTGAGAGCATGCGGAGAATGAGGGGGGCCGAGCTGAGGTCCCACTGGCACCCAGGTACACCCGCGCCATGCATCCCACGCATGCTGATGCTCGATAAAGAAACCATACATGTCAAAGTTTGGATCCCCCCACGTGCAGTCCTGGTCTTCAGGAGAGAAATCGTGTGGCACTCTTGGGACCTGAAAATAATTCTGTTTGAAAGCAAGATGCAATGCCAGGACACACTCTTGACCAATTTCACCAATGAAGGTGCATTAAATAACCCAAGGTTTTGTATTTAACATTTTCTACAGCTACATGCAGGTATTATCATCGCTCCTCTTTAAATATTCTAGACATAATACTACGTACTTTACAAAATGTACTTTTTTTCATATCTATGGGAAATGTCCACTTCAGCCCTTTGGGTCTATAAAAGTCTTATTCAATTGTAATTTGCTTCTCTATTCATCATTCTACTTCTATCAAAATAATCCTACAGGAGCAGGGGTGGATTTAGGTCGTCTTTTGGGCCTTCCAGGAGACAGTCAGATTTTCTGTTGGAAGGCGGTCAAAAATGGCGGATGGATCAACAAAGATAATTTGGAAGACTGTCAGAAAATATCTCTGGATCCGCCCCTGAGGAGGCAGAGTGAAGTTTTGACATACCTCTTCCTCGTTGTCTTGTCCAACAGTGTTCCAGTCCAGGCTACCTGGGGTAATGAACTGCACACTGGGCAGCATCTGTTCTCCTGCTGCCTCCAGATACCCTGGAGATGGCGCTGGTGGCAACTGAAGAAGTGTCCAGTTATTCTGAAAAAAAAAAAATGTTAAGAACATTTCAATTGGATTAGGCTGGAAACAATTAAACCATGGCATCATTTCTGGATAAGTGGCTAAATTGCTGCTGGGATGACTTGAAATCAATAATTTGATTTTTTTTAAACGTTTGTTAGTGGTTTGAATGGTTGGCTGAAAACAAAATATAAAACTTACATTGGCATACATGATAAAAAAAAATTCCAACAACACTAAGAACAAGGCAGCAAAGCTGTCAAATGTACAGACAAAAAGCAGGAAAAAACAAAATAGGGTACTGTCAATTCTGATGCAAAAGTACATTATGTTAAAGATGCATACAAAGTCAATTTTTTGTCACAAAAACCAACCAAATGCCAGCATATAGTTTCAAGTAGTATAACTAAGAGAATTACCAAAAGGCATTGTATAATTTTACCCGAANATGCTGATTTTCGAACTTGACCTGCGTTTTATGAATATTCATCAGCTCTGTAAATATAAAGCCAAAAAGTAAAACTGCCCTCCACTTATCGTGTTTACAAGGAAAGTGCACGGCGCCGACGGCGACGGCGACGACGGCGACGACAGACGCAGGTGATGGCAATATGTACAGACACATCTGTGTCTGTACATAAAAACCTGGCAGCCATAGAAATGTGGTACCTAAGAAGATGTTGATGATAATTCTGGACAGGAAGAAAGACCAATGAAGAAATGTTACAACTTGCAGGAGTACAACACTCACTGATGAAAACAATCAGAAAACAACAAATGAAATCTCTAGGCCATACCATCAGAAAATACAAAATAGAAATATTGTACTCTGCAGGAAAATTGAAGGAAGAAGAAGTAGAGGAAGACAAAAAACATCATACATTGATAGCATTAATGCCTTTGCAACAAATCAATGACTGTGCAACAACAAGCTCAACCAATAGACTGAAAATACATAAAACTGGAGGACCATGATCGTTGATGCCGGCACCAGGTCTGACACTTGAAGAAGAAGAAAAAGATGACAAAGTATCAAAATTGCGAAAACCTGTTTAAATAGAATATTTCTTACTAACAATTCATCCCTTTACATTTAATAGTAATAAACTAAAATAACATTTCTATATTGAAAACGTGTCTAGTCCCCCATAACGGTACAAGTGTTGCGATTAGAGTGCCATCACAATTTTTTAGTCTTTCCTGCAGACATGGTGAAATTGGAATGAATACCTTACCTTTCGTTTGGTGAAATTGGAATGAATACCTTACCTTTCTAAATTTACAGAGGGTTCTGATCATTTTTAGAGTACTTTCAGTTGGTTTCATTCTCTGACGAAAACTTTTCATGGAGTTGAAAATGTTATTCATGGCTTCCTGAAAATCAATCATTACAAGTACAATAAAGTTGAGACATTTAACGACACTGAACAAAACTAAATATCTGACAAAGAGACATACATTTTATCTATCTAAAAAACATTCCTGAGGACTGAAGAGATTAATAAATAAGTTAATCACAAAGTAGGAAGATGCATGCTTTTAACACAGACAGTGCAGAAATCTAGCAAAATTCAATTTTGTCACAAAAGTCAATTTTATACATATACTGAAAAAAATAACAAGTTTTGAATATTTACAGTGTGAATTCCGCAGCGATCCAGGCAGCCTCCAACAATGGTGAGCAGCACACACAAGGCTTGGACAGAGGCATCAGTGCGCTGTCTTTGAAGGCGGGATATAATGTTTAGGATTGCCTCACAAGAAAAATAGTGCTGCAGGAAAAGTTCTCCTATTAATCTGAAAATGAATAACACTTCTTGATTAAAACACTATATATATATATATATAATTTCTGCTGAAGATTTAAATACTGAGAGTCTGCAGCATGTCACTTACCATCATGCTATTCCTAGGGACGTTAAATTTTCATATCTGGCTATACATGTGTTCAGTTCAACTTAGCTTCCAAATCAACATTTATGTAGTAAAATAGCAAAGATACAAGAATGCATATATATTTACAGTCACTACAGCAGACATTATTCAACTGAAGTTACATGTTAAAATTTTTATAATTTAAGATCAGGGTTTTTCCTTTAGATATTTAACATTATCGTTTTTCATTAATTAAATAGTAGAAGGATAACTTGTAGTTACCTGCATATAATGAACAGTCGATTATCCTTCATTTTTTCTGGCAACTAAAAATAATTTTTGAAAGATTACAGCCTGTGCCAAAAACACTTTAGCCTATAAACCCTTTGGGCAATTGGGGTCTAAAAGTGGGCTTGTTTTATAATTTTTTTCTTTTTTTTTTTTTTTGCTATCCCAGTACAGTGCTTCTTTGTACCTAACAATCCAAACTTAGATTACTGATCATTGGATTATATAGTTTTAGGAAAATAACAGGTTATGAATTTAAATAGAAACCACATTAAAACATATTTTGACTTCACAAGACACAAAGAAATCATCGATAATTGAGATCACTCATAAGATATAGTGTTGATGAATGCAAGATATGGCAATCAGGAATAAATTAAGTTCAGGATGAAAAAATCACAACTAGCTATTGCAGGGTATATGTGTAAGGAACAATATATATCAACTGAAAAATAATCAGTAGAATGTGGGTCGTTAGATTTGATTTTAAAAAATGATTGGCCATATGAAAGAAAACATTTAAAAAAAGATTTTTTCTTAAACTGTCATATGTGCCAAAATTTGGAAACAAATTATGAAAGATACTTGAAGTATCAATAATAAATATCTTATTTTGTAAAATTTGCTTTCCTCTACTGTAAAAATGACGATGAATGCATACAACTGAATATAATCAACTCTTTTTGCAATCACAAGTAATGCAATACTCACATTTGTAATTGAAGATTTTAGCAGAACAGATTGAAATGTTTTCATAGTTTCATCTATAAAGACTTCTTGAAATGTGCCTTTTGATTTTTCGTCTTCATTCCGACCAGGCAGTTTGTACTTCACAAAAAAAAAAAAAAGAAGATATACATACC